GTCATGTTTGTCTGGCAACCACATATCTTCAACTGTCTGAAATCGGGTTCACTTTCAATGTGGTCATAGCCTACCTCCCTATTTTCCCATCTCTGGCCATGTTAAATCACTTGCTGTTCTTTAAAGCCTCATCTTGGTTTTTATGTCCCTATGCCTTTATTCAAGCTGTCTCACAGACTTAAATGCCCAGTTCCTTGCATCTCACTAAACTTCTCCCAATAATTTTCCCCTTATACCTCAAGACTAAAGTATAACCATAATCACTGTCTCCCTTATTTGACATGATTTTTAAAAAAATATTTATTTATTTATTTATTTGTATATTGTGTGAATATGCATGTATACACTCATGTGCACGTGGGTATGAGTGTGAAACAGGTCAGAGGACAATCTGAGAAAGTTGGGCAATTCCTTGCACAATGTAGGTTCCAGAGATCAAATATGGGTTGTAGAGTTTGGAAGCAATTGCCTTTACCCACTCAACCACCTCCTTGTCCCTATAAAAATTTTAAAATATACATTCAGATCTCTAATATTAGGCTTGTCCTCCCCATAGAGTCTGGTACATATTTAGCACTCAATAGGTACTCATTAAATGTAGATATAAATGAGTGAGTGCAGGGAGAGATGAAATCACATCAATTAATTTTTTAAAAATACAGAAAGAACTATGAAATAAATAGTGTTTCAGCATTGAAATCTTTTTCTTGAATCTAGGATATCTAATATGGATGAAGCAATGTTGTACTCCTCTTGGAGGTGGGAAATGATGAGGTATCTGTCATAAGGACTATCTTGAACATTAGAAATTATCGTTGATCATGGCATCAGACTATGCCAGGGTTCCCTGAACTACTTTCCTAACTACAGAACCCATGCACATTTTAAAAACTTTCATACATGTTAAGATTTTATCCTTAGAGGAGAAGTTCAATCTCCTAAAAGTAAAGAAACTTCTCAATCTTTTTGTTTACTTGTTTATTGAGAATGTCCCACACTATAGTACTAGCTGTCCTGGAATTTACTATGTAGGCCAACTAGCCTTAAAGTTATGATATTCCTTTCTCAGCCTCACAAACACTGGGATTACAGGCTCAAATGACCTTTGAAATAAATGTACATTTTTTCAAATCTCACATGCTCTGGCTCTCCATGGTCCCTTTTTTTGTGGGTGGTAGCTGCTACCTGAAATTCCTGTACAGTCTGCAGCATGGCATGGTTCAGGGTAAGGGATACTTAGGTTCATGCTATTTACTACATACTGAGAACTTAAGAGTCTCAGAACACAAAAAGAAATAATAGTTGCCCAGGGCAACAATAGGACAAATGGAATGTGAGCAAAGGCAAGGTTCAGGAAAGAAGATGGCAGGAAGGCTGGCTCTTTCTTCCTGATTCCATTTTGGAAACTGGTAGTGTTTCTTGTAAAGTACAAAACAAAGTAAGAGATGTCTGTGCATTATTGTGAATTACATACTGTATAAAAGTCACCACCAATTAACTGGAGGCACGGTCCTTATCCCGACAGTTAAGTGTTTTCTTAAAAGGACAAATGGGCAAGACATTTAAATTCTTTAAGCAATTCTTTTTGTAAGGACTTCTTGACACACGTTTTTTTCAAAAGCAGCCAAACATTAATTAAGAACAAAGAAAAACATATTTTTCCACTGATGAGCATTTAAGAGCCTGAAGGGTCACGCTGAGAACTCTCCACCTGTGGGACTGTTTCATAAGTACCAACAGTTTCTAAGAAAAGAAGCAATGGGGTAGGAAGGTAAGCATGGAAACATTAAGAAAAGGCTATATGTATTAAGTGTTTATTAATTCAAGAGGACCCATCATCAGTAAATGGAAGACTATAGACACAGCCATGCTGGAGATCCTAAGATGTTGAGAGCAAGCAGACATCAGCTGTAGAATGCCATATTCTCCAAGAATTCAAAACGACTGCTTTGCCTTCCATTCTTTCAACATTCTAGTCATTGAGTATGGTTTTGGCATATACCTTACATAGGTGTGAATGGGGGCAGCTAAAATTACTGTGCAAATTCATCTCTTGTATTAATACTTCTATGAGCAGGTGACTGGCAATTGAAGAAAAAGTTGATAATCTTATAATATTATCTTTGTGGCTTTTGACATCAGATCACAAAAATTTAACAGCAGAAGGGTTGTTGGTAAAACTGATCTTCCCAGTTTCATAGGAAAAAAATAGTCTCTAGGAAGGAGAAGAGACTTGAACAATACAACATTCTTAACTGTTGCTTTATTATATATTACATAATTGTAGTGTGAGTAGTACAGAAAAGGAACCAGTTATGTAAATTCTTCTTGAAGGTAACCAAAACCCAAATCTTGTGAAAATGAGAGGATATTTCCAATGTATTCACAAAGGCCACTGTAAGGTGCTTTCTTTTATCTTTCCATTGTTTGAATAAAAATGTGTTATATACTGATACTGTAAGTTAACAATAAACTTGGAAGAAGATATGTCAAAAATTAGGGAGTGTAGTTTTAACTCCAGCAATGTGCAAATGTTATACTTTAAGTCTAAGAGAATAAACACTTCGGTTTTCACTGACCTGGTACCTCAACATTAATATAAACTTTTATGCTCTGGCACTTTTCAGTATGAAGTAATGAGAAGTGATTTTTTGATCCACTGACTGTTGTTACATATCACATATTGCATGGCAAGCCAAGCTGATTATTAAGGAGAAAGTCATTGGAAAGTGCTAAGAACAGCCTCCATCTACCCAATATGCTGGTGACCTCATTGTAATAATAACTCCTCACATTTGTCTAGCACTTTCTCCTAACTGTAACTCCGAGGATGATACCTGTAAATTACAGACAATGAAAATGAAGTTCACAGGGGACATGTAGTAAATGATAGATCTGGGCTTTTAGCCTAGGTCTGTGTGACTTCAAAGGTAAAAATTTATACAACATCAACAATCCTTCTATGAGTTGGCTAGGCGACTATCTCCATGATACAATTCTTGCCTATTATACCCAAGGCTGTAGGTTCAATTCCCTGCATAGCAAACGAAAAAGATCCTTGTATTTTTGTGAGCATTTATCTTCTAGTTTTCTTGAACCTCTAGTGCCCAATGTGCTGCTTATACATATGTGACATTCAGTAATATAACATGGGAAGGAAACTGAGGTGAAAACTGTCCACAGCAATTCAGCATTCTATTCCGCATGCCCACTCAAATTAACTACAGTTTCTAGTAAACCAATCAAACAGCTTTTTGTACCACTCTTTCAGTGACTGAACTCACAAATTTATTTCTTGACTTATTTATTTATGGCAGAGTGCTACACTTTATTGTAAAAATCTCATTTATACGCAGAGATCTCTTCCAAACAGGTTCACTGTAATGATGTCAGAAGAACTTTTTTTTACATTGTTTTCTTTTCTTAATGGAGGATACGGGCTCTGACATGGAACTAATGTCTTAACAAGTAGTATTTTATACTTGTTATAAATTTTACTTGTATCAAAATGGGCTTACAGTTACTTTCAAAAGATGGCAAGGCAGAGGATCCTCAACCTAGAAGCCACCATGTATTATGCATAATTCACAGGAGGTTAAATAATTGAGAGGTGAGTGTATCAGAACACACGCTCTGTCACCTTTCCTGGAATTCTTTCTACCTTTATGATCTTGTGGTTTCTTTCCCACTGCTATCACAACTACAGGATATCCTTAGAGTAGACAAAACAAGAACAAACGAGGTTGGATTTTCTCAAATATTGAATCTCATTTGATGTGGTTGCCTGGAAAATAACTCACAGTGCCTCTGCCTGTGATGCCTGAGAGAACTACATATTACTTGAGATGCTCCTTTTGAAACTATAACAGATCAAGCCTGAAACAATTTGCTTGTAGTATTATGGTCTGTTTAAAAGTACTACTGGTCTGTGAGGAGGGAGGATGTACTTATCTACAATGATATATAGGCAGAATAGGCATTAAGTGCCTTATGGAAAGCCAAAGATAACAATTGTTCTAAATTAGCCCTGAGATGGGAGAAAAGTGGGCTGACTTCCAGTCATTTGAATTTCCACAATTGGTACTGAGTAATCAAATATAAGGTTATAGTTTTAGACACTCAGAAATAGATTTGTTTTTCTTTGAGTTCCGTTTCTAAATCAAAGTAGACTAATGAGCTTCTTTTTCTCATGAAAGATACATCTGTTTGGAAGCAGCAAGCAGCAGTGTGGATTCTGGCATGGGGAAGATGAAGCTAGGAAGAATTAGGAGAGGGGAAATATCTGTCAATCAAGTAGTATGAAGCCATTTTGGAAGGATGACAGAGCTCATGGTAGACATAAGCTCATGGGACACAGAGACTTATGATAGAGGGTCACCTTTGAAAGGGCTATATCTCCTAAGAAGCTACTGTGCCATTGGGAAAATGCTGTTGGAAATGATGAGTGGATTTCTAAAGAAAAGGAAATGATTAAAAAGCCTGCTGATTTCTGGGAGGCACAGGATAGGAAATTGGCTCTGTTTGGTACCTTAGTCACAGGATCCAAGAGAAGCTGCTTTCCACTCCAGTTGGCTGTCTCTATAGTACATGTAGCACTTAGCGGAGAGATAGTCCCAGGTGTTCAGAGCCTGCCTGTGCCATGCTCAACCTGCACCTGTGACAGTTTGGATTACTTGGTGCTCGAATCCCTATCACTGAACAGCATCAGGTCAGTATCATTATATCATCCGAGGAACTGAATCCAAAAAGCACAGTATCATTCATCTTCTGTTAGTTTCTGATCCTTACTTCATGCCTCCTGGTCCTATGTCAGATGCCAAAGATCTGAATGCCATGGGTTCAAATAAAGAAGGCACCATGAGAAAGTTAGCCTAAATCTATTTCATATATGGTAGTCTTGGAAGCATTAACAGAGGCAAATCAGGTCTAAAGCAATTATTAAAAAAGGATGAAGGTGAGCAGAAGAAGGACAAGGAGAAAAAAGAAGAAAATATCCATACCTCCTAGAGTCATCCCTGCTTCATAGCATTTCCGGAGTCGACAAGATGGACAATTTTTCCTCCGAAATTTATCAATGGTGCAATCATTTCTGCTGGCACATAGATACTTCTGCTTCCCTGGGAGAAAAATGTAATAGTAGATCTGTTAATGTGTCCCAGAGCTTCTTTCCCTTGAGTACTTATAGGTAAAAGGACAATAATATATACTATAAATTGAGAGACAATGGCCCCAAACAATTGGATTAAACAGAATTAAACCACTGCATGGGACAAACTAGAGCCTCTGAATGTGGGTGAATTATGTGACTTGATCTGTTTTTTGGGGGGTCGGGGGAGGAGACCTTGGCAGTGGCACCAGGATCTCTCTCAGGGGCATGAACTGGCTTTTTGGAGCCCATTCCCAATGGTGGAATAACTTGCTCAGCCTTGATACAGGAGGAGGGGCTTGGTCCTGCTTCAACTTGATATGACAGACTTTGTTGACTTCTCAAGCAAGGCTTTACCTCCTAAGAGGAGTGGATGAGGGCATAGGAAGGGGGAAGGGGAATGTAGAAAAAGGGGAGGAATAGGGAACTGGGGTTGGTATGTAAAATGAAACCTTTATTTTAGGTTTTGTTTCTTTGTGTAACTTCGGAGTCTGTCCAGGAAGTTTATCTGTAGACCAGGCTGGCCTCCAACTCACAGAGATCTGAATGGCTCTGATCTCCTGAGTGCTAGAATTAAAGACGTGTGCCACTACTGCCTGGCTGAAAAATAATTTTTGTTTGGTTCTTTCGAGACAGGGTTTCCCTATGTAGATTTGGATCCTGTCCTGGAACTATCTCTTGTAGACCAGGCTGGTCTTGAACTCACAGAGATCCACCTGCCTTGACTCCCAAGTACTGGGATTAAAGTCGTGTGTGTGTCATCATTGCCTGGCACGAACGATATTTTTTAAATAAAAAAGAATGTGGTTTAATTCTGTGCTATGTTACTTGTCTTTCATAGATGTTTTAATAGATATTAGCAATTCAGATCTTGCTAATACTTCAATTATTAGAACTGTTTACTGATTTCAGAAACAAGGTGTTTTAGCTTGACTACAAACCAAGAGTGCCCTTGAGAAAATGACCAGTTGTGAAAATTATCACTCTGTTAGCTTGGCACAGAATAGATGTTGGCTTAGTCAATGCATCTTCCTACTGACACCTGTAATCATGCATAGATTCATACTTTAGCTAATTAGATGCTTTTAAAAAGCAGTACACTATTTTTTTCATGTTATCCCTAACAGTTTTTACATTGTTAGTGATGACATTCTCAAACTTGTAAGTTGTAAAAGCCAAAAATAAAACCCACACTTTGTGTTATAAATCAGAGAGTGCAAAAGGAAGTCCTCTTAAATCAGTAGAGGGAAAAAACCCACAACCATGTACAACTTGAGTCCTCATAGTTGTACAGAGAAACTAACCTCCCTCTGTTCAGGATAAGAGATCCTCAAAGGCAGATGTCGTCCAAAACATGTGATTTGCTTAGTGCTTTGCTTTTGTTACATTACTCCCCATACCAGCCCAACACATACTAGGCCCTTGATTAACATGCATGCATGCAGAACATAGAGATACATAACTAAACAGTCACCACCAAAATAGTTCAAAATACATCCTCAAGTACTCTGTACATTGTGGATTAGGGAAAAAACAAGATGGAAGAAAATAGTCTTTTAAAGGTCTATTCTTTATTATTTATTCTGTTTCGCTGTATGGCTAAACTTTTCAGGGTTCTATATCAAATAATGACATGTCTATATATTTGGTTTGCTTACAAGTTTAGTAATAATTTGAGCAAAGTACTTGTAACAGAATTATCATATACCCCTTTCTATGATAACAAAATTAAGGGTCGTTATGATGAAACAGATTCTGCCTTCCAGCATTACATTGAGCAGTAGTAGCCAATGCACATCTTTGTCTTTTTTCTAGGTCATAAGTATGATATTAATTATAGGCTTACAAATATGACCTTTGATTTCTGCTAAGGGAACATTATCTAGTATATTCAGGATATTTATCAAGAGATAAATTCTGTCAAATGCTTTTTATATCTTTGCTGAAATGACCATATGATTTTTATTTTTCATTTTGTTGATGTGGTGAGCTGTATTTCTTCATTTATGTATATTGAACCAGCCTTGGATCCCAGCAATAAATCATTTCTGATAATAATGGATATTTTTAAATTTGGTGCTGATTGACTTTTATGGTGTTTGTTAAAGGTGTTCTTTCATCTATGTTGTTCAGGACTATTGACCTGCTTAGCATTACATCCTTGGTTTTCCCTAAGACTATTAAACTAATGAACTAATGAATGAGAAATAATTTAAAATAATGTTAGGTCACATAAAGCTTACTCCTCTATACAAATCTGTAACATACTGGCAAAATGTTTTTCCCAAGTTTTCTTGAATTGTGATTCATTTTGTAATATTTCTGGACTCTGTTAAGAGACACTTTTTCCAGGAAATGTATTACTGTCTTAAGTTATGAAATGAACATATATAGAGAGATGCACCAAGCCCCAACAAATTGGTGGCAGAAAACTTCACACAATGAAGATGTTCTGTGAATGATTATAGTGGGAAGAAAAAGCATTCTAAGCATGTCAGATATCATTTTCCAGTTTGTTTATAGTCTACTACTGTATTTTCAGTTTACAGAGGAATTGTAAGTGAGATCTAAACTTGCATCAATTTAGTTTTAGAAGGTCATATATTTTCATGTTGTAGTCTAGGTGGCTGAACAATTAGCACAGATAATATAAATACCTATTCAGCTCCTGCTCATCAGAGACTAAACATTAAACTCCACTCTTTGATACTGTTTACTTTTCAATAGCAAAATTTTATTAGCAATCTATTATCAAGTTCTTACAAAAAGTCATCGTGAAATGATTGGCAAAATACATTCTTTTTCATAGTAAAGCATATAAGAATACACTGTAGAACTGCAAAGAGAACACTCATTTCAATGCTTTGTAACACTCAGCACGGCCATATAATTGACATGAAGTACTCTGCATGCATGTTGGCTCTGAAACTACTGACTGGCTGATGCTCTATATTTTCTTTCTGGTCATACTCTGTTTTTAATAACAAATCTTGATTATGATTCCATACTGCAGCAGGAACTGCGACCATGTGACAAGACATTTTTTTCCCTCACAGCATCCCTGTTTCTGTTCTTTTCTGCCAGACTCACAATGTTTCCACCCAGTTTGACTTCACATCAATGTCTAATTAAGATACTTTCCACTTAAAAAACACACCATTTTGAGTAAGGTAGGTGAGGTAACCATCAGTGTCATTTTATCATGTAAATGAAGAAAGGGTTGACCTATCATCATCATTAACCTACAGTAAAGATTGAAGAATAAAGTGCGTTGTACTATGTATAGGGAATTTTAATATGGAAATTGTAAGGCAAAATAAAAGAAATTATTGAGGTATGTAAGAGGTCTGAATTAAATAGAAAGATGTATGGTGGCAAGGATAACGTACAATATTTTAGAGATTTCCATTCTCTTCCAGAGAAGTATATAAATTTAAAACTATGGAGGAGTGTTCCTTTTTCTCCACATACTCTCCCGCATAGATTGTCATTGGTACCCCCCCCCACCTGTCAGAATGGCTAAAATAAAAAAAAAAAAAACAAAAGGGAGAGAGAGGGGGGGGGGGGAGGAGGAGAGGAAGGAAACAAATTCACCCTCCTCCATTGCTGGTGGGAGGGCGAATTTGTAAGACCACTTTGGAAATCAGTATAGCGGTTGCTCAGAAAAATGGGAATCAGTCTACCTCAGGATCCTGCAATTCCTCTCTTGGGCATATACCCAAATAATGCACACCCATACAACAAGGCCATGTTCTACCATGTTCATAGCAGCATTGTTTGTAATAGCCAGAACCAGGAAGCAACCTAGATGCCCCTCAACTGAAGAATGGATAGAGAAAATGTGGTACATTTTTATACAATGGAGTACTACTCAGCAGAAAAAAGCAACGGAATCTTGAAATTCACAAGCAAATGGATGGAACTAGAAGAAACAATCCTGAGTGAGGTAACTCAGTCACAAAAAGACAAATATGGTATGTACTCACTCATATATGAATTTTATACATAGAGCAAAGGATTACCAGCCTACAATCCTATACACTAAAGAAACTAGGAAACAAGAAGGACTCTAAGAGAATAATGCATGGACCCCAGAGAACGGGAAAGGGCAGGATCTCATGAGCTAATTGGGAGAATGAGGGTAGAGGAGAGGGAGCTGCCAGAATGAGAGCAGGAGAAGAGGAGAGAAGAAGAGGAAATGGAGGAGCAGAAATATTGAGTTGGAGGAAGAATAGAGGAGAGCAGGATGAGAGATACCATATCAGAGGGAACCATTATAGGTCCGAAGAGAGATCTGGCACTAGGGAGATTTCCAGAGACCTACAAGGATGACACGATTTGACAATACAGGCAATGGTGGAGAGGCTAACCTAAATGCCCTTCCCCTAAAATGAGATTGATGACTAGTTTTTATGCCATCCTAGAGCCCTCATCCAGTGGCTGACGGAAGCAGAGACAGACATCCACAGATATACACTGAACTGAACTCTGGAACTTAGTTGGAGAGAGAGAGGATCAAAAGGGTCAGTACTGGGCTGGTGAAACCCACAGAAACAGCTGGCCTGAACAAGGGGGAGCACATCGACCCCTGACTACTGTCTGGGAGGCCAGTACAGAACTGATCCTGACCCCTGAAAATGGATGTCAATGAGGAGGCCTCTGCACTATAGGGGTCCCCTGGTAGTGGATTAGTATTTTTGCATGGTGTAAGAAGGGGCTTTAAGAGCCCATCCCATCTGAAGGAATGCAATCTTGGCCTGGACATATGGAGGAGGGCCTAGGCCCGGTCCAGGATGATGTGGTGGACTTTGGGAGTCCCCCATCGAGGGAGGCAAAAAAAATTAAAAGTATGTAAACAAAATACTGCCAAAATGTGTCTAGAGGAATATAATATATGATAATGTTATTATATTTTTTGAAAAGAAGAATAGTACGATTTTCTCTAACAGGCATTTAAATTATTTTTAAGACACGACAATAATAATTAATAACTTGATACTGGCTTCAGACATGTCAACTTGTAAAAGAAACAAGAAAATATATAACCTATATAATACATCATTCTAATTTAGTGAATTATAAATTATTCACTATATGGTTCTAGAATAACTGGTTAATCATTTTATGTAACAATATAAACTCTGGGACCCACAAATGAGCAAAACGATGTAATTCACGTAGTTATCTTCAAGTGCATCCATATTCCTGCAAATAAGAAAACTTCAATTTTTATGTTAAAAATTCCATTGTGTCTATGACATTTTTTATCCCCTCTTTGGTTGTTGGATACCCAGCTTAATTCCAGAACTTACCCATTGTGAATGTGCTGCAATAAATAGGAATGTGCCTATTTGTAATATATTGTTTAGAAAGTTTTGCTAACTATACAGGGATAGTATATCTGGATCATATGGTAGACTTGTTTTTGGTTGTTTGAGGAAACTCCATATTGGTTTCCATACTTGTTGGATGAGGTGACATTTTAACCTACATTATATAAGTATCCTCTTTTGTACAAATTCCTGCAAGCACATGATTTTGTTTTCTTAATGACTGTCATCCTGATTGGGATGAGATGGAATCTCAATGTAGCTTTAATTTGCATGTCTCTGATGACTAGGAAAGGAGAAAATTTTTTGAAATGTCAACTGACCATTTCAATGTCCTCTTTTGAGAACTGTGGCTATTTCACTAGGTCATTGATAATTGAACTATTGAATTTCTTGTAGTTTATTTTTAATTTTCTATATGTTTGATAAAATATAAAAAACTATACAATAGAAAAGTAGGAAACAGAATGAGTAGGCAATTATAAGAAGAAATGAAAATAACCACTACATATATGAAAATTGGTCAAATTCCCTAAAATAACAGAAAGACAAATTAAATATCATTTTTACATGCTAGATTGCATATCCAGTTAAATGCTAAGTGTTGGTGAGGGATATATTTGTTGGATATTTTAAATAAGTAAGAACATACATAATTTTGTGCTAAAATATAACTTCTAGCAATAATTATATCTGCAAAAAGGAGTTGATTGTAGCATTATTTAAACAGTAAGATTGAAATAGTTAATTGTCAACTATTAGGAGATTAATAAAATCATTCCATATTCATAAAAGGAACACTTTGCAGTTATTAATGATAATATCAATTGCTTTTGTGTAACTTAGAAATATGTTTTTAGGTATACTGGCCTGTTAAAACAACAAAAATGATTTTAACAAATAGTGTATTTTACTAGTTGCCATTTTAATTCTTAAATCCCCAGAGCTCATCTACTCAGATTTTTTTCCCTGAAACTTTGAGAAATAATTGTATATATCATTATTAGTGGGGCATGATGTAATGTTTTGATATATACCTGTATTATAAAATGATTAAAACAAAGTAATTAACATATCCATTGCATTACCGGACTATATCTTTTTTTGGTTTTTCGAGACAGGGTTTCTCTGTGTAGCTTTGGAGCCTATCCTGGCAGTGGCTCTGGAGATCAGGCTGGCCTTGAACTCACAGAGATCCACCTGCCTCTGCCTCCCGAGTGCTGGGATTAAAGGCATGTGCCACCAATGCCCGGCTGAACTATTTCTTTTGCAGCAAGAATATTATAAATCTATCCTTTTAGTATTTTAAAACATTAACGTGTGGAGTTATTAGTTCTGGTCACCATGATGTGCAGTAGGTCACTGAAGTTTCTATCTCCTGTCCAAATGAAATTTTGTTCTCTTCAGTCAGTGTCACTACTTCTATGAGTCTCATCTCTTCTCAGCATGACTTGCAATAGATACAATAGGAATACACCCTAGAACCTCTAGTGTCAACACTCAGTTGAACAGTATTTGAAAAGTTCTTCAAATTCAGTTGACTCATAGTCTTTTGTACAAGTTTACTGCTCTTGAATTTGTGCAATAGTGTAGATTGGTCTAGACACACAATCTGAGCTGTAGCAAAGGCAGAACTCATATAAAGAGGGGACAATAAGTTTATATTATTAACTTAAAAATAAATAAGGTTCTGCCTTACTTCCTCCTCTCGGGATCTGACCCCTTTGTATTTTTCTCTCTACACTTTTGTCAAAGTTGCACCTCTGGGATTTGTTTATATTATTAGGATCACTTTAAAAACATGTTGCCATCTTTACATGTTCTACCCAGTTGATGTGTTTCTGGATATGAGTGTACTCACTACACGCATTTCAACTGAATTCTCATTTAAATGTACAGCAGAGATTAATCACTTAAAGAACTTTGGGGTTGAATAATTCCTTATGTCTAAGATAATCTTTGAGTAAAATGGTCAATAATTATAATTTATCAATTTCATTAAATCTAAATTTTCTTGGAAAATCTTACAATCTTCATGAAGTATAATTGAACAAATTATTTTAAATTAAAAATGCATACACATTCTTTGACTTGGGACATGTTTTTCACATGTATGACATGCATATACAGACATTCATTACAACATTGTTTTTACAGCACAAGATTAACAACAGCATGTATACCTATCAACACATGAATAGTTAAATTATTATGTAACAATTCACCTATTAAAACCAATTTTATATAGAACAATTAGGAATAGTCTCCAAGATCTACTGTAAATTTTTGAAAATATACGAAATATTAATTCAGTAAATAAAATTGTTGTGTTTTTGCTTATGCTCATAAATGTATGCAACATCTGAAGAAACATACAGAAGTTGATGAATAATGGTTACTTTGAGACAGATTACATTGCTGTGGAATTGTGGGGGTTACTTTTTACTATTTAACCTTTCAGAGTTACCCAGTTTTGTTACAACTATCTGTATTATCTTGGGTTAAAGTCCATTCCTCTCTCTGGACTTCAGTAGATACACCCATACACATAATAAAAATATTAGTCTTTAAAAATTCAGTGAGAAACAAAAGTGGCTCCAAGCACACCCTAGTACCCAATCTATAGTCTCTATTCACAGCAGGTGTGTTACCTGTTCACCACACTGAGGGATTAGGGAAACTACTCTTTTTAAAAGTTCAAAAATTTTTATTTTGATACCAAATTTCAATTAGTCAATTAAAACAAGCTTGTTGAAGATGACTAATATCTGTAGGGGAGAAAGAGACACTAAAAGTTCCTGCCATTTAGATGCTTGTAGTCGAGTAGGAGATAATGTAGGTGCAGATGAAGGAGAGCTATTACAAATATATGAGAATACATCAGGACTTTGGAACGAAGAAGAATGTCTAGGTCATGGCTTATGTCTTGAGGCTTATGGAGGGGCCTGTGCAATGACAGTAATTTCCTCTACGCCTCAGCGTGAATGGAAGACTGCTAGGGATGAACTCAGTAATCACCTGATAAATGACTATCCAGATAGTAAGAAGCTAATAGGCACACATGGTAAATGCCATTAGTTGTCCTTGGTATTTGTAACTAGGGAAAACAGCATGATGTGCTAGAAGTACAAGAACTAGGAGTTAGAAGGTGGGGCTTGCAAGTCTCAGAATTTCCACCTAGTACTGTCAAATATTACAACTGGGGCTAACAGCATAACTTTTCTGATTCTTTGTCTTCCTTAAAAAATGAAGCGTATAAATTCATCTTTGCAGATCTGTGACAACTAACAGAAGACATGAGAAGTATCTAGAAAATGTCATTTAATGGTTAAATCATAAGCAAGGTGAACATTCTCCTGGAAGCATGAGGAACTCAAGAAAAGCTGATTAAGGATGAAGTGATGGCTGAGAGCTTTCATTGTATAACACTTAGTGAGCATTCAATGTTGTTTACTTATCTTATCAAGTGCTTCACAATAAGGAGATTTAATCAAATTATTCAGTATTTTCCTATATAATTTAAAAGTATAAAACCAACTAAAATTGAATGTGAAACTCAGACTCACATCCTCTTTGTACTTTCATTCTGGACTGTTGTTCTGATTTGATTTCCCAAAGCCACTAACCAAGATGATTCCAGTGTACTGTGCAACTCATAAAAACACTGATATGCTTCTTGACAAGATTAAAATTGGAGAAGGGGGGAAGTGAGAAAAAGGAAGACACAAAAGGAGGAAAGAGAGAGTAAGAATGATGAGAAGAAAGAGAGGGAAGAGGAGAAATTAGAGAAGAGAAAGTAAAGAAAGAAGAGAGGAAGAGAAGGGAAGAGAGGAGTCAGAAAGAGGAGCTTAAGTTCAGCCCTACTAAAGTAATGTTGAACTGTATGACAGCATTAAGATAAACGAAATTATATTATCTTCATTACAAGTCACTGGCAATTCCACTAAGAATATATGCACTAATGACTGGGACAAGGGTTTAAGAGCCTGCACCCCACGTTTATTTCACAGTTTTATTTCTCCATGTTCTCATGCTTTTCCCAAGGATTGTATTAAATAATGTTCCCCTAAGAAGCTATGTCACAATGGACCCCAAACACTAAGAAACTAAAATTAATTTCTGATTCTAGAGAAGCTCCACAAATGCTCCTGAGGATTAATAAAACACTCAGAGAAGAATCAGTGAAAAAATACAGAAAGAGAGAAGGGTCAGTATACTATGGTCAGTAAGAAGTGGAACATGGTAGCTTGGTAGATTTGTGTTCAAGACTTTCTCTGTCTCTTGCTAGCTGAAACTTGGTAGAAACTACTTGACTTCTTCAGATATGAATTTAGCCTTCTGTGAAATGGAGACAGCACATTGATCTACTGTAAGATTTAAATTTAATTCTATTTGCAAAGCAATAAGCATTCGGTAAATATTTAATGAGATATGCAAATATGGAAATGTAGATGATCAAATTTTGATAGGACCAAATAAAAGATATAAAAAACTGGGCAAAGTGGTAGCAGTTGGTACACAATACATCAGAAGATAAAAATGACAGGATAATAATCTGCAAAAGAAAATTTAACAACTAACAAATGTTAAAATCCTAAGTTAAAAATTTTCGTAGAAGTTTTATTTCACAGAAAGAGTATTCTTAATAAAAGCAGACTTTTTTCTAAGTAAACAAAGCATTGGAGGGCGTTCCAGGCAGAAAGCATGATGTGTTTAAAAAAGAATGAAAGTTGGAAAGAGCCTAAATTGACACATGAAACAGGTTGGGAAATTTATGATACATTAGTCATCAAAAACTCCAAAATATTCAATTAGCTCTGATTAAGCACACTGATACTTTTTCCTTTTTTAAAAATTAAAAATACTTGGGATGTATAGTATTACCATGAAACTAAGGCTGGTGTCAAATTCACAATCCTGTCTCAGTTTCCTAAATCCAGGGATGAAAGGGAAAATAAAATATTTCTTCTTAACTACCATAAGACA